CATCAGAGAAGATGGGTGGGTGTCCTTAGAGGACGTCAACGCTCTCGTAGGAGAAATGAGCCTTGATGACGCACACGCCATCATCGCCAAGGACGACAAAGACCGACTTATCCTTTGCGCCGAAGCGAATACCACATGGATCGCCGCCGTCTCAGGGCACTCAATTGGCGGGGTCGTTGGCCCGGGCCGCGAGTTGCCGGAGGCAGAGATCCCGGAAATTTTAGTGCATGGGTCCTACGCAAAGCGCACCAATGCGATTGTGCAAGAGGGACTTTACGCCAGGCGTGCGATACACCTCCTTGCCTGCGGGTCAAAGCACGGCCGGTGGCGCTCTGACATCGAGACCAGTGTTTTCGTCCGGGCACGGGCTGCCGCGCGCACCGCGAAAGTGCGAATCCTGTTGACTACCAACAGCATTTACCTCGCGCCAGATGGGATCCCGGCGGAGTACGTGGTCAAAGTCGCCTCGTGGCGCAGCGGTTCGGTCCCTTTCCTGCCCAAAACCGAGGGGCCTTCCGTGGAGCGTTTCGCTCCCGGTATGGCCTCCAATTCGAGGCAAGAAAGAACGACCACCTTGTCGACAGCTGCCAAAGCCGAACAAAGGGCACAGGCAGAACACCAGGCTGCGGAACGGTTCACCGACCGGCAAGCGGCCCGTAGAAAGCTAAGCGCCGCCGCCCCTCGCGGCACGGTAGGCATGGAGCTCCAGCGGGAGCTCGAGTCCGACTGTGAGTCGTGCTCAGACCGCCGAGAGCGAGCCACGCGCAGCGCAGCCGAATACGCTACTAGGCGGTTTCGTGCCCTAGGGATCCAGGTGCCCAGCGAGCCCGTGGAATTGAAACCACGCGTCGGTCTGGGCACGCCAGCGCTCGGCGGAGAACGGGGAACCATGGGAGATCGAGACCCGGAGCGGCTTGTCGCCGCCACCCAGACCGAGGCGCGTTTCGCGCCCGGTAAGGATGGGGCCTCGTCCTCTCCACCTGTCTCAGGGGAGGCCCGCCCGCCTAGACACTCTCAGGAAGAAGGAGAGAGAGAAGGTGGGGACGCCGAGGACGCACTAGACGAACAGGAGCTGGCGCTCCTAAGGTTAGCGGAAGAGAGGAACTCCGAGATGTTCCCTCTTCAGGAAACCGCTGTCCACTCTGCCCGCTCCTCCCAGGCCGCGAAGCACGAGGCCACTGACAAAGAGACGGAAGAGACGCCAGCATATCCGAGCACTGAAGGAGAAGACCCAACCTCCACCGTGGCGCGTTCCGCGCCCGGTGAGGAGGAGGTGCAGGCTATATGGGGTCCCAAGGTTGAGGTAGAAGGGCCCCTTCAGCGCCTGGTCGAAGCCGCTCAAGCACTCGGCCGGGTAGCTGCTGAAGAGCCTGACGCCGTGGCCCTCGCAGTCGACCCCAGCACTCTGGCCGCTGATGTAGGAAGGCTCTTAACGCCAGGCGAAGAAGAACCCGACTGGTCAGCGGACGAAGAGGAACCTACTGTGGTCACGGCGGAGCCGGCAGACGTTCCCATGCCACAGGCCCAAGAGGAGTCAAGCAGCGAAAACCCCAGCAAGGGTATCGTCGAGACCGGCAAAGAGCCTGATGAGGCTGGCCCCAAGCGCAGAAAGATTGTCCTGGCCACAGGACAACTTGCTCTACTGCGCGAGCTCGCGGCCGCTAATGCCTCAAACTGGACTAGCGTGCAACAGGGACTTCGGGAAGCAAGAGGCTCTAGTGAAGAAAAGCAAAGGCTGGTTCAGAACCTTACCGAGCTCGCGGAGGTCTTCTCTAAGAACTGCGTCGCTTGTGCCCAGGCCGCGTCCTCCCGCGGAGGCCCTACCTGAGCTAGAAGGCGAGGAGGCCGCCTACCTCTCTGCCCTCCCTCCGGCGCTGAAGGAGCTAGAGCGAAGAAACCCCGTTCGGCCTAGCGTCAGCTGCACGTTGGGGTGGGTAGCCCACGACAGATTCCGGCGAGATGCGGAAGCCGCGGGCATCTGGGTCGCTCGGCGTCGAGAAAAATCTCGCTTGAGAGCTGCCTCCCATAGGGAGGACCTTCAGGCGGCAGGAGCCGCTGGGGTGGCAACCCAAGACCCGGTCCGAAATCGGCAAGACGCGGCCGATCACCTGAGCTTCCAGATGAGCGAAGCAGCAGAGAAAATATTCGCAGCTTCCAACAGGAGCTACGCGCGGGAGAGCTCGACGCTCCCATGAGGACCAGCCTCCCCCAGAAACGGAGGCCCGAGTCCGAGAGGAGGCGCCGCCTGAAATGGGCACGGTTTGCTGCTCGTCAAAAAACTCGCAAGTATGACCCCGAAGAGAGTGAGCAGAACCACCCTTACGCTCACCTTGGTGGGTCGAGGCTCGTTTCGAGCCCGACCGAGCCAGGGCGTGTCCCGGGCACGACGCCCCTTCAGGACGTGGGGAAACTTGCTGCGAGTTTTTTGGCGGGCTGTCTGATAGGATGGCTCCTTGGCAAGTACCGCCAGGGCCCGCCCCGGGGCCGGCGAGCAGAAATGCACGCGTCGCCCCCCCCCACACCCTTCAAGGCCCCGCCCGAGCCGAAGAGATGGGTAGCTAGGCCTCCTCCTGCTATCAGAAACAACGTGGCTCGCCAAGCCACGCTACGGGCCATGGGGGCTGTGGGGCTCCTCCTCCTGCCCGTCGTGGCGAGGGCGCAGGGACCAGATGTAGAGGACGAAGAAACAGGCTCGATTTGTGCCGCTGCCCGAAGAGTCGGGGTTCTGCTTTGCCTTGCAGGTCTTTGGAAGACCACGTGGGGCTGGACAGCGCCCAGCAAAGATGCCTCCACCCAAACCGAGGCCGCACAACCCCCGGCTGCGGAAAGCGTCAATTTCACCCAGGGTGGTGAGTGCTTCCATGCTGAGTTTTGCGGCCACCTGCGTGCCCGGCGATCCAGAGCCTATCGCCCTTGCCTCGATTGCGGGAAGACAGGGGCAGGCACCAAGGCCCCGAGGAACCCACCCAGGAGCTCCGGCTTCAGACCTGTAGGTGGCTTTTGCGGACCACCCTTGTTTGTGCTGCCCTCGGTGGCTTATTAGCGCTCCAAGGGTGCAATTCCAGTGACCGTGACGTTCGCCAGGGGGCAGGCCCGCACTTTACTGCGATCTGCGGCATTCTGTGTTGTGGCCCACTAGTCCTGATATTGTGCCTTCCCTCCCTAAGCCTACCGAGGCGCGTTTCGCGCCCGGTATCGCATCGGGTAGGAGAAAGAGTCAAGAGGGTCAGATTCGGCGCAGACGGAAACCGCGCGACTGAGGCGCCACAAGGCCACGTACCCGTACTGACTACACGGCACCATCGGCGCAGGGGCAAGCATCCCCTCGTGGCCCCAAGTGGAAACACACCTGCCAGTTCCAGGACCAAGTTCTCCGTGAAAGGCCCTCAAGCCGGCGTTCTGCCCGCGCACTCCTGGGCACGCGAAAGCCTGCAGTTGGTCAGAGACCACCTGACGCCCACTACCCAACGCTTGTACGATGGGCACTGGCGATGGTGGGAACTGTTTGCCCGACGAAGAGGTGTGTCAGCCCTCAGATCCGTGGATCGTTTCGATCCCGGAGAAGAGGCTCTGTTCTTGGATTACCTGGTCTACCTCTTCGTAGGACAAGGTCTTGCTGCTGCCACAGCCCAAGCGAGGCTAGGGGCCATTAGGAGCGTGCACCTCCAGCTGGGGTTCCCAGACCCGCTGAAACCACTCCCCCGGCTTAATTTGGCCTTAGAAGGCATCCGAAGGAGGAAAGGCCCGATCGCAAAGAGACGTCCCGTCACGCCACAAATGTTGGCAAGGGCGCGCGCTGCCCTTCCCTGGAATGTATGGGGAAGAGCGCTTAATTGCGCTCTCCAGTTGGGGTTCTTTTTCCTGCTAAGAGTCTCGGAGCTCGTTGGAGGAAACAACCCTAAGCTCGGGCTTAAAACGAGGGACGTGACGCTGTACAGCCAAGGACGCCCCTTGTCTCAACCCCCCTTTGCTGAAGCGGACGAGATTCAAATCGTGGTGCGCGCCTCAAAGACGGACCCCGAAGGAGAAACAGCTACGCGGAACCTCTTCCGCAGCGGGGCCGAAGTATGCCCCGTCACCCCGTCGCTGCCACCGTCGAGTACTTGGAGCTTCGATGGCGAAATGAAGCACCGCAACCTGGGGAGAGGTTTTTTTGCAACAGTCACGCGGCAGGATATCCAGGCCGCTCTCCAGACAGTTGCCGCCTCCCTAGGCGAGAATGCTCAGGCCTACACGCCGCACTCGCTCCGATTCGGAGGAGCATCAGCAATGTGGGCAGGAGGATTCGAATCCCATGTCCTTAGGACATGGGGAAGGTGGAATTCGGATGCATTTTTGGCTTACCTGTGGACCTCCAGGAAAGCATCTCTTAATACGGCGGCGCGCATGGCGACAGCCGACATGACTCCGGTCAAAGGCTTCGCAGGTAAGTAAGTCCTCGCCCCTCTCCTGCTCACCCCTGTCGTGTCGCGTTTCGCGACCGACACCCCGTCTCGTGGAGGGGTGTCTTTTGTCGGAGGGGGAAGGTTGCACATTGTGCAAAAAATCAAGGACTTCGTGCTTCGCGCGCAAAAAAGAAGAGTGAGCCGATGTGAGTGTGAAACGTGGTAGCCTAGCCTTGCGTGCGTAGTGTTTCACCTCGGTAGGCTCTCGGCTCAGGGGTGACCCACCCACCCACCCCCTTTGCACATTGTGCAAAAAATCAAGGACTTCGTGCTTCGCGCGCAAAAAAGAAGAGTGAGCCGATGTGAGTGTGAAACAGCATTTTACGAAGGACGACGCCAAGACTTGTCGAGCGGAACTGCCAAAAGAGCGAAGTTCATGACAAGCAATCCACAGCCACAACGAAGTTGGCATGTAGGGATACCGCAGGGCGCTCCATTGGGGCATTTGCTGCACTGGACAGATCTGGACACATCAGACCGTGAGGAAACAGCTTCCGTCCCCATCGAATTGTGCCGAAAGGCATTCTTTTTGCACGGGTCCTGCTGGGCTGCCAGGTTAGCAAGTTTGCGGAGTCCCTGGAGAACTTGCGCTTCCGTCAGGCACAGTGCGTGGACGGGTCGGGTCATGGGGCAGCTACCCAGCGTAGAAGGGCTATCATGCTGGCACCATGCAGGGACCGTGCAACTGTTGAAGATCGCTCATGGCACGCGGTGTGATGCCCATTGCCCAATCGAGCGTTCGTCAATCAAAGGTAGGCCCTGAGGGCATGGCCTTGTTTCGGATCTTCAGAGTTGGGGTTTGGGAACAGACGCCCAAGCAGAGAGCCCTGTTGTTGAGCTAGGCTCGAAGAGTTCGAACAGCTTCCCGCAGTATGGGGACCATGCGGATTGTTGAAGCTCAATCAGCTCCCCACCTGGATGGATTCTAGCAAGCCCCCAAATGCAGCCTTCGGCCAGGATGACTTCCTGGTGCAACTGAAGGCCGTGGCAGCTTCAGGGCTCAGGGCACCAGGGATGTATGGCGAAGTGGTTCCTGGCGGGATAGACTTGGCTTTGCAGCCAGAACAAGCTTGCCACAGTGCTGTCACAATCGAAGTGGAGACACGGGGTAGTCCTTAGGTCCAACATGAATTTCAGTAGAAGAGATACTCGTACGAGAGATGTGGCTTAGAGCTCCTGATAGAAATGGTTCCAAGCAAGCGCAGGAGTTCTTGAGCTAAATGGGTGCCGTTGTTACCTGTGGGCTTTTGCAGGCTCGAAGCGCTTCATGCACCCGATTCTGGTTTTCTGTGAGGTTTTTGAAGCCTTCTTTGGCAATTCTCGTAACGCTGTTTTCCACCGTGGCCCTGCTTCCCAGGCCGCCAAGGCAGCACTACAAGAGCTGCCAGCACTGAAAGAGGAGCTGCGCCCACTCCTCAAAGCAAAGCCATTGTGGGGCCCATGACTACAACAGCGGCCCATGCCAGAGCAGCCGTCTCAGCCTTGCCATGGGAAGGTGCCGGCCGCGAGGCCACCGACAACTTAGCGCAGAGCCACGCCAAGACAAAGGAGGCAGCAGCTTGCAAGGTTTGTGTGAGGCTGGACGGATGGAGGCGGTCAGATGTGTTCCATGCCTCCGCTGAACAGCTTTGCGCATGCGCGCGATGCTTGAGAAGATTCCTGAGAGTCACACTCAGACTCTAGATGAATCGTGCGCATCAAAGGGGGTCAGAGAAGGGGGCTCTCCGTCATTGACATCAATTTTGTTTTTCGTGCTCCATGCTGCAAATCGAAGGCAACATCGACGGAGCTGCACCAGCTGACCCAGCGCTTGGGTCTGCTGGAAGAGAAGAGGCAGCTTCTTCCCCTTTGTGCAGATTACTCTTCGGCTCTTCGGCTCTTCGGCTCTTCTTCGACACTCCGGCTCTTCATTGACCCTCTCCAAGGGGAAATGAGAGCAGAACCGATGTAACGAATGAGGTTAGTGAGGCTCCGGTCCCGAGCAGGCCCCCATGTTGACAACAGGGGCTGCGCTTCCCCCCTCCGTGGATCCGAGAATTCGCAGAATTTCGGCCATCTCTAGAGTCTAGAAACCCTTTAAACAGCCATGAAAGGCTGACGCAGCACACTCGTCACGTACGAAACCCATCACTGAGTGTGTCAAACAGTCGACTCTACATGGCTCTACATGACTCTACATGAGAGGGTCTAAGCACGATCGAGCTGTGCGCGCAGAGCGGTTTTCAGGTTGAAGCAGCTTGGCATGGACGTGCAGGCCTGGTCCCGTCACACTCCGACTCAGAGTTCAGTTCGATTTTTAGTCTGAAGTGTGCAAGCAGGTCTGCAAAGAATGTTCTGGCTTGTGGGGCAACCCTTGCAATTCTGTGGGCAAGGTTCGGTCTACAGAGAGAAATGACATGAGTTTGCGATTCTCGGGTATAGTCATTGTCCAGGTGCTGGTGAAGTGAAGTTCCTGTAGAGGTTTGCAGCCAGTCAAGCTCAGCTAAAAGCAAATCAGAGGCACTTGACTCAGTCATGATTCTAAACCCCTAAACCTCTAAACCCCTAAACCCCATTAAACCATTAAACCCCTAAACCCCTAAACCCCTAAACCCCTAAACCCCTAAACCCCTAAACCCCTAAACCCCTAAACCCCTAAACCCCTAAACCCCTAAACCCCTAAACCAAACCCCTAAACCCCTAAACCCCTAAACCCTAGACCCTAAACCTTGACCAGCAGTGCTCAGGCACTTCAGGGGGCACTAGTCCACATTCAGACCGAGCTCCAGAAGGAGGCCCTCTTCACGAAAGGGGCGCCAGCTGAGAGAAAGGGGGAAGGAAAGCGGACTACCAGTGATGAAGAGGGTTAAGGGAGCACTCTCGAGATCGAGCGGTGAAGAGAGTCTCTCCATCTTTGAAGTATTTTGCTTCGTTTTTTTTTTTGTTTTGTGTGTGTGTTGCTGTTGTTGCTGTCCTCCTCCCTCTCCTCCCCCTCCCTCCCCCTCCCCCCCCTCCCCTCCCCTCCCCCCTCCCCTCCCCCCCTCCCCCCCCCACCCCCTCCCCCCCCCCACCCCCCACCCCCAACCCACCCCCACCCCACCCCCCCCCACCCACCCCCCACCCCACCTTCACCCCCACCACCATCCCATCCCCATCCCGATAATGATATTAATAGTAATAGCAATAATCATAACACTGGTCATAATAGTCATAATACGAAAGGGTTGGGGCGCCTGTACCATGTCCCCCCTGAGATGGAGCGAGACACCGAGCTTGGGCAGGTGGTGATCCCAGACCACATCCTCCGGGATATTGACGCGAAATCTGAAGCCAGACAGGCGCATACCGTATCGGCAGCTTAAGAAGCCTCGATGCGGTGCTCACAGAAGGAGCTGAGTAGCAGCTCTCTTCGGCCATGAGTCCATGTGGCGGCTGGGGAACCACATGTCTTGTCGGAGTGCAGCAATCCACTTCATGGCGTGTTGAGTTCCCCTTGAATTACGTATCGCAGGAATGTGTGCAGAGTCTCATGAATGTTGGATGCAATCTAGCTGAGCAAGAGCTCCCACAGCAAAGTGCAAACGACTCCACAATTCACTTTGCCTTCGAATTCAGCGGGGCTCCCCGATGGAAGCAGCTCTGAGCAGCCTTGCCAGGAAGCCATGTGGGCTGAGCTGCACAAGCATGCAGAGGTGCAATGCACTTCAATTGCAGACGGGAGCCGGTTTGGGTTTGACCCCGTCGTGCTCTGCTTTTCTGTCCAGTACCCCACGTATCCTAAGGACCTCTAATCCATCCTTTTATGTTATCTTCAGCCCTGAGTCCATTTTGCCAGACTGCAGCACATCGTGCAGACCAGCTGGAGCGCAGCCTCTCGAGCGCCTCGGGCTGCTTTCGGACGGTCTTCGGACGGCATCACGCTGCGGTAGGGCTGTTGATTTTTGATGTCACTGTTGCGAATTCGCTGGACAGTCTGGTCGCATCCTGCATCATGTCCTCCACATCCACGCTTTCTGGCACCCCATGAGGCCGACTGGTGAGCTTGGTCGGGAGCCCGGTTCGACACGGACATAGACTCTAGCCCTGATCCGCCTTGCTCTGGCATTTCTCCAAGGAGCATTCCACGAACGCGCTCCTGCAGAACGAGGCAAACATCCGTAGGTTCAGCACAACAGCTTGGGCGACAGCACTCTCATTTCTGATTCTCGGTCTGGAGGCTAGCCAAAACGCATCAGTCTTCTGAAGGGTTGCTCGATTGAGAGCAGCTAGCGTATATGTAGAGGCCGCAGTGTTCTTTGTGCACTGCCTGAGACACAACAGCAGCTCCTACCGTCAATAGAGTCATATGAGTTGGAAAGACGGCGAGTATCAGGCCCACTCCCGGGAGATGGAGCGTGAGATGGCGAAGCAGTCCGAGTGGTTCGCTTGGCGGTCCTCCTGTCATGGTTCTGCAGCACACATGTCACACATGTCGCTAGTCGAAAGCAGTCCATTGCATGTCCATTGCATGTCCATTGCAGCGCCAGCATCGCTTGGTTGGAATGGACGGCCACCGGGGAAAAGCGAAGTTTCGCTCGCCCGCTGTCCGGACCCCGGCATGGTCAAAGCGAAGTTATGAAGTTGCAGTGCCCCACTTGACTGGGGGCTTTGGACGACAAAGGCGAAGGTTTTACAGTCCACCCGTGTCCACCCATAATGCACGTGAAGTACATGTGATTGATCCGGTTGATCGTCGTAGAGACGGACTGCGGCATGCACCAGCAGCTGTGTCAAATTCCAGCATCTTCGGAGCGGATGAGCCCGGCTTGTGTGGAGAATTTCGGGTGCGCAAAAGGCTTCCGCCGCCTGCCACTCCAGCCGCGACCTGCTTCAAGCAGCCGATGACGGAGGCCGACGGCACACGGCGCACCTGGCGCGCCCAGTAACTGTAACCGTGGCCGGTCTAGACTATAGGTCTCAGCTGGTGAGTTTACAAGAGTCCAGAGTCTCGCATGCTTTCTTTTCGTTACGAGTTCAGCGTCATCAAACTCAACGCATCTCAGGACTCTGAGCTCTGGGCGCAGGAGAAGACAGGTCAGCAGCGCCCGTGGCCTAAGCTGTGCTTCTGGTAACTCTAAGGGCAACCAAGCCACTAAGGCAGGAAGGTTAAGGTGCCTCCTCGGAGCTTGATGAGGACGCTTCTGTCTTTCAAAGGCTTGCGGCGCGCCCCGCTTCTCCGTCTTCCCTCGGCAGGCCCTGCCAACGCGCAGAGGCGCCCTTTCGTCTTTTCTGCCGTCGATGATGCTTGAACGAGCATTCCAGTATCATTGCATAGTCACTTCCTCCAGCTGCCGAGCGGCCGTTTCGACCATGTTTTCCTGAGACTCCCGGGCTTTTGTTGGAGGCTGGCCCAGACCGATGCGTCGGCGAGCAACCCAGCAGCTGATATCCTGTGCATTGTGCAGGGAAACCTGGGTCCCTTTTTCTTGGTCCCTTTTGGCCCTTCTCCCAGGTCCGGACTTTAGCCACATCTTCCTCTGCTCCAGCAGCGGTCTCGGCCCACCGAGTCGCAGAAGGGTCTTGGGCGATTGTCTGTTTGCCATTCAGACTGGGCATTGTGTGAAACGTAGTGAGACCTCGTGTGAGAGTTCCCTGTCTTACTCGCTTAGTTGCTGGATTCCAGGCGTTACAACGGACACGTCATTGAGTGGCTCTTAGGGCGCCAAGATGCGCAAAAGGGTGATGTGGTCCCCAAGTCCCCAGGGCGCTCAGGACTCCAGGAATCTCTGTCTGCCTTACTGGTAGATTCAAACCAAAGGTTTCGAGGCTCAGGAAGTTGTGTGCATAGCCGCGGCGTCGCCGTGAGTGTCCAAACGACATGGTGGAACGATTACCTGAAACGTCGAAGCCCACCCCCCCAGATACTACTTGCATGATCTTGCATGCGGAAACCCTGAACACAATGGTCTTGGCCAGAACCTGCGGACTTGTCTTCAGGATTTGGTCGTCGGCCCTGGTACCGGAGGAACCGCAGCCTTTGCTTCTAGGTAAAAACCCGTGGATGGCTGCGCAGGTCATTGTCAGTCACTGGGTCTGGGTCATCGGTCAGGACACATTCTAGCTTGGTGAAGGGGCACCTGAAATATTCCCCAAGCATTGGAGTCTCTACAGGCCTAGATAGGTTCGTGCGACTCCTGTCACACGCGTCAGCTTTCAAGTGGATGCCAGAAACCATCATATTCGTGATCTTGGACGTGATTCTGTCAATTGGGCTCTTCTCTGCGGTGCTGGCCCGGCCCAGGAACATCAAGTCAGTGGACTCCCCAAAGAGGGATGCGCTGGCTTACTGATGCCTTGCCACAAGAGATGTCACAGAAGCCAGCACCTGCAATGTCGAGTTCTACAGGTTTTGCAGCCCAACCAAACAACGGTGCGCAGAGCAACACTCGACATCTTCCATTCTCCGCATTTCTCCGTGAAAGCGCATATCAGCCTAAGCCCAGACTTTACACAAATTTCGCCGTGTGCCAACCTGGCCATGGGAGACTCCGACTCGCCTGGGTATCGGCTCTCCTCGCCAAGTGGGGGATATGTCCCGCAGCTCAAAAGTTCGGGTACACGTAGAGCCATAAAACGCTGTGAGCTGGGCTTGAGCCTGGGCCTCAGTAGCCAGACAGCACGGCTCCAAGCTGCCCAGGTGCGTGTCCATAGCGGCCACTCACCTACCCAGACGCTCTGCTGCAGTATCTTGGGCACCTTCTGAGTCGCCAGCCGAAGGTTTCAGCTTTGGGGCATGTAGCCATGTCTTTGGCAATGTGGCAATCGAGGGGGATGAAATTGCATGCGTTTCGCTGGTCGAGAAGCACTTATAGACTACCTAGACCTAGATTGCATGGGAATCCTACGTGCTATAGGCAAGGGCTCTCCCTTTGTTTCTTTTATCACCATGCTGACTCAAGCAAGTCATGAGGCTCTGAGGCTTCAGAATATGCGCACAAGAAGCACGCCCTTGAGGATGTAGATCTTGCAATATCTTGTACTGAACGGTTGAGCCTGCCACCTTTATGGACACGGAGGAAGATCACAATTAGTCAGCGGAATGTTTGAGTTGTTGGACGTGGATGCCGGATATGTCGGCCATTCGGTTCTCGTCTCCCCCACACCAGCCCTGAAAATTTGGAGCGTCGCTGAACCCGAAAGCCTAAAGCCTAAAGCCTAAAGCCTAAACCCTAAACCCTAAACCCTAAACCCTAAACCCTAAACCCTAAACCCTAAACCCTAAACCCTAAACCTTAAACCCTAAACCCTAAACCCTGAACCCTGAACCCTGAACCCTAAACCCTAAACCCTAAACCCCAGCTTCACTTGGCCAAGGAAGGGCATGGCTGCCTACGGATCTCCAGTACATGACGGCTTTGGATCACCTCGTGCCCCCGACAATGACTTACCAAAAGTGTGCAAGTAGGTGGCGTGCCAGTGGTATGTCCTGGTATGTTGCAGCTACACCTAGGCCAGGGGTTTCGGGATTGCTGTCGCGGCTTGCCCACACAAGTCTGTCAGTCCTCTCATGGAGCCCTCTCCCCATGAAACCGTTTACACATCTCCCAGCGCATTGTGCCAGATTCCTGGCCTGGAGCGATGCTGGCCTTGCATTGGTGGTGTCGAAAGGTTGTTCAGGGACGTTTTTTGCTAGACACGGTTGCTCGGGCTTCAAAGCAGAGGGCCTAAACCCGAAGAGCTTAACAGTTCTCAATTGAGAGACGCAATGATCGCTTGTCGCCTGTCGTGTTCAGTGAGTCTTCTGAGAGCGACTGGTTCAGGTGCGGTTTTCCGTATTACAAGAGTGCTGCCTGTTGTCGACCAACTCGATTTGGTGTTCACATCATACCGTTCTGTGGTTTTTGGTAGGATGCAAGCATAAGCCTCAACCAGGCCTGACCCAGGGGTGCAAGCTTCATGACCAAGGTTTAGGACAGTACAAAGGGCTCCCTGCCCTTGCATACAAGTGTTCACTCGCAGAGTGCGCCTGGTGCGCGGGGTGTCTTCGGCCCTCAATCTTTGCAGAAGAACGAGGGAAGGAAGGAAGCAAGGAGAAGGACGAATGAACACATGAAATCATGAAGTAAAGGCAGCATCAAATAGACAAAAAGGGTGAGAGAATGCGTCAGTCCAGGCCTTAAGTGCGTTGAGGTGGGGGGGCAGCAGAGGAAGGCCTCGGCAGACACCGGTAGCGAGTTGCCATGCAAGTGAGGCACGTGGAGTTCCTACCAGTCGGCAGCCATCAGGGCTCCTATGTCAAGCAAAAGGCCGGTGGGTGCAGTGCAGGTCTTTGCTGTTGCCGCCATCGCTCTTCTAGCATATCATGCCCCATGTGCTTGTCGGCTGCATCGTTTATGTGGACTTGGCGACAGATTCCGTATGCCTCCAGATCTTGCGCCGTGTACGTTTGAGAGAGTAGCCTGCAGCCCTCAGTTGTCCATTGTTTAGGTCCCCATATGGGGAGTCCGATGGCAGTGTCTGTGCTTGGCGCCACTGGTCTGCACCCAGCACTATTGCGAGCTTTCTGAAAGCAGCTCTGCCACTTTAACGAAGCTGATTGCAGCATCAAGAGCAGAGCGCTCTTCTAATGCCGCCTCAGTGCACTTAAAAAAAACACAGCCATGAGGTGTTGGCTTCTCGTTGCGGGCGTGCACCCAAGCGGCAAAGAAGGAAACGCAACTCCCTGCAACTCTCAACTCACGCGGCTTTGTGCGAACTTGTTCGAACATTCCTGCTGCTTGGAAGTTTCGTAGGGCCGTGTGTAGCTATGAGCCTGTGAGCTTGTTTGAAGGTTCTGAGATGCTCTGAGGGTATGAAGCAGTTCACCGCGGCCCCGAGGTTAGAGGCCCAGCATCCCAAGCCCTACAAAGCCCACAGCGCTTTGTTCCGGAGTGGTGGAGCTTTTGTGAAATAAGGATCCTGCTTGTATGGCTTCTGGTGTCGCGTGCAGCTTGGCGTTCACAGAAACCAATGTCATTACCGGTGATGGCACGGGCGTAGTTCTGTCAAACACCGTTTTGCAGGGTCTACAAGGTTAACTAAAGTGGTATGTTTCCGCGAAGATCCATGTGCCGATAGGTTCCAACTAGATCCGACCCAGAAGATGCAAAACATTACCCTTACTTCGTTGTCAGCCCGTTTGCACCAAAGCCTGGTAGGACCGCCTCTTCATCTGCACGTTTTTTTAGCTCAGCGGCTTAAAAAGACCAGGCCCACTATGCGCCGTCTCAAGATGCTGCGCTAGAGGCCAGTGGGGTTGGGGACTATGCACAACCTGGCAAGGGTCTTGACCTTCCTAACCCTGAATCGGGCTGCAATTGGGGGCGTCTGGAATGTGAAGCTGCTAGTGCTTGGCGCGCCCGGAAGCTCGAAGCTCGTAGCTCAGATTGGCATGCAGTCGCGCCAAACAGATGAAATGGATGAAATGGATGAAATGGTGAAGTTCCTGGAGTTGCCACAGGGTAATCACGAAAGCATGGCGCCTTGTGCATAAAACTGCGGAGAGTGGCGCTTCTGGAAACGGGCGTGACAGCGGAGTTGCCATGCGCGAAATCAACAGAGGCGATGCGCGCATGCTCGGGTTGTCTGTTAAAGAATATGTTGAAATAGGCGCGAGGGGGGCCACAAGCTGCATGTAGCTGCAAGAAACATGGCATCGGCAATGGAGGGATCCCCGCCGCTCTCCAGTTGTCCCAGCTGTCCCCAGAGCCTCTACTCTCCTTATAGCAAAAATAGCGTGTGGAAAGTCCAAGGCAGCAGCGTGTGGAAGGTCCAAGGCAGTCGAGGTGCTGAGAAGCCGTAAACGGTGCTTCTGTGCAGGACTGCGATCTTGGCTTCGACAACTGGAGGCTTGGCTGGACGACGATGAAGCAAAACTGGTGCTGAATCTCGGCTGCGCAGACGAATGTGTGCTTGCGGGGCATTTGTTTTCTCCGCTTCCGCATGCTTGCAATACGAACCCCCCCTTCCCGAACTCCCCCCCGTCCTTAGGGCAAACAAGCTTCCAGAATACCTGGATATCCCAACAGCACATCTTACAGAGTTTCCCTGGAGCGAGCATCAGAATCTGCCGCAGCCTCTCACAAAATGGCAGCAGCTAGTCAGCTAGCCTTTGACCTGTAGATTCTGAAGATGGTTTGCGACCAATCACAAGGTGAGCATCAGCAGCGTGGCTGCATAGAAACCACAACGCCGTTCGACTGCTTCCACGGTGTGCCCTGGCTTTGGACTCATCGCTCTGTTCTGAAGATTCTGAAGTGCGTGTAGACCTTCAGTATCAAGGAGGCAGAGTTTTATCCCTTGTTGGCCTCATGGACATCAGCCCATCTTTTGCCAGTGGTCAGATGTTGTCCCTGGAGTCCATGGCAGTAGCATTTTTGTTTTCCAGGTTCGTGCTCCGTGCAAGTGTACGGGGTCCTGGCCCAACAACCCAGCAACGCCCAACATTTTGGCTGGGCCATAGAATGTCGCCATGACCTGCTTCATTCTGAAGAGATGTGGCAGTTTGCTGACGAAGGAAAAGAGCAGCTAGCACGTCGATTTCTTCATGAAAGGACCTACAGGACCAGCCAGGCAAATAGTCTTTAAAGGCCGTCAAACCAAAGACACTGTGGCGCCTCTCTTCATCATGGGCCCGCAGATCCTAAAAACGTATCAGAACCAGAAGTGAAAGTGTCCAATCTTTCAAATATGGGTACTTCCAAGAATATCGGGTACCCTTGATCTACCCCAATATAGTACTCGTTTTAGTCATTATTATACATCTTGGCTGAGCTTGTCAGAGCTCCTCTCTGTCTCGTCTCCTGTGAAAAACACAGCTCCCAGACTCCAAGCAGGATGCGTCTGATGCTTCTGGGTAGGGGCCTAGGGTAGGAGGCCAAGGATTCCTTCTTGGGATGTTCCCCCTGATGCTAGCAGCTCCTTAGCAGGGATTATAATAGGGGGGGGGGTACTATATTCGAACATCCCAAGTTCCTTCCGAAGCAA